GCGAACCCCGGGCCGCCGCAGCGGAGCGCGCGCACTTAACCGCTTGCGCCACCGGGCCGGCCCCTGTTTGCTAACTTTTTCTGATAGAGAGCTGCAGTTTTCTGATATTGTCTGTCTATTTATCTCCTTGCTCAAGGCTTTGTAAACCTTTGCTTTTTGTTTCAGGTATGAGGGCATCCTTGATCATTTCTTGTAAGGGAGGTCTAGGCGGGATGAACTCCCTCAGCTTTTGCTTATCTGGGAAGGCTTATTTCTCCATCGTATCTGAAGGATAGTTTCGCTGGATAGAGTATTCTTGGCTGAAAGTTATTGTCTTTCAGTATTTTAAATATATCATTCCAGTCTCTCCTCGCCTGTAAGGTTTCTGCTGAGAAATCCACTGAAAGCCTGATAGGGGTTCCTTTGTAGATTTATTCTCTTCTGCCTTGCAGCCCTTAAAATTTTTTCTTTGTCATTGACTTTTGCCAGTTTTACTATTGTATGCCTTGGAGAAGCTCTTTTTGCATTGATGTAATTAGAAGTTTTATTGGCTTCATATACTTGTAAGTCTAGTTCCTTCCCCAGGTTTGGGAAGTTCTCAGCTATTATTTCTTTGAACTAGCTCTCTGTGCCTTTTTCCCTTTCTTCTTCCTCTGGAATACCTGTAATCCTTATGTTGCTTTTCCTAATTGAGTTGGATATTTCTTGAAGAGTTTCTTCATTTTTTTTAAGTCTTAGTTCTCTCTCTTTCTCCACCTGAAGCATTTCTATATTTCTGTCCTCTAAATTACTAAGTCTGTCCTCTATAATGTCAGCTCTTTTTTTAGCTCTGTTTTTGAAGGTTTCTGGATTTTTTTTTATCCATTCATTATGTTCTTCGTCTCCAGAATTTCTGTTTGGCTTTTTTCTTAAGAGTTTAAATCTCTTTGGTGAAGAATTTCTTCTGCTCATTAATTTTATTCCTAAGTTCATTGAACTGTCTTTCTGAGTTTTTTTGTAACCCATTGAGTTTCTTTATGACAACTGTTCTAAATTCTCTGTCATTTAGGTTGTAAATTTCTGTGAGTTCAGGGTTGGTTTCTGGAGACTTGTCATTTCCCTTCTACTCTGGAGTGTTTGTGTAGTTTTTCATGGTGTTTGATGAAGTGATCCTTTGCTGGCACATAGTGCTAGTATCAGGTCGCAGATTCCACCTGACATCTCTGGGGAGAGGTGCAGGAGCTGTATTTTCTGAACCTGCCATGTCTGTTGGAAGTCTGCGTTTGCTTGCTGGCCACGGCTTCTTGGCACGTCACACACATACACGTGCAGGCCCTCTGGTGTGGAACCACTGCTTTGGCTGGGGTCTGGCCAAGTTGGTGTGCTGGGGAGGAGGCGGGAGGACACTTTCTTTCACGTCTGTGGGGCTGCTCTGCACTCAATGGGCAGTTTGCCTGGGCTGCTGTGCTTGGTGGGGGCGCCCATGGTTGGCTGTGCCACGCCCCTCGGTGTGGAGTGTTCCTACGGGCTGAGCTGCACTCTGAAAGCGAAAGCGTTCATGTGCAGGCTTGCCTGCTCCCCCTCCTCCTCTTACAGTCACGTGCCGGCTGCTGCCTGAGAACCCGTGACCTAGATTGCTGCCTCTGGGGAGGGGAGGGGATCCGCTCACTGCCTTCCACTCCTTCCTGGGGATCCAGTATGCCCATCTTCAGATAGATGGCTGCCTGGATCTCTCAGACGTCCTATTGTGCTTTGTACAGAATCCTCTGTTGATTAATGAATGTCCGTTTGCTTGTAGCTTAGGGGGAAGAGACTAAGGGCACAGCTCACTCTGCCATGATGCTGATGTCATTCATTTGATTCTTAAAGCAGTTCTGTAAAATAGACATTATCACCACTGTTTTAACTGAGAGAAAATGTTAGCCTGAGTTGAAGTTGAAGAGAATCAAGATGTAAGTCCAGTCTTCTGATTCCGAGTCAGGTGCCCTTTCTGCTGCCTTCCTAGGGGAGGATGGCTGTGATGTATCATGGTGAGACTTGGGGATGATCGAGTTAGGAGTGGTAAGCCAGGTTACAAAGAGCAGAGGTGAACTGGTTGCGGCAAGATTGAGCTCTTGATGGGTAGTAGAGGCTGGCACAGAAGTAAGATTGGTGGTGGTGATAGGTAGGGACTGCAGTGAAGGAAAAAGTTGGTCTTTTACCCGAGTAAAGGAGAGTGTGTCTGTGTTTCATAAGACTTTGATATTTTCCCGTCATTATTTCCTAGAGTCACATTTCACATGGAAAGTCCACGTGACAGTTTATAAAGGAGAAAAAGGTAGAAATTTGAGGGATCCTGTCTCAGGTATTTACTGCTGTTTAAAACAAACTGTTTCTGAATTTACTTAACAAATGATTTTATAAAAGTAGCTCTGGCATACAGCCCCGACTCTACCCTGCACTTTCATTTACCAAAGTCACCTGACTCTGCCTGTCTTCTTAGTTCCTGCAGACATTTATGTCCTAGGAGAACAGGTGTGTTTCAGGATGCTAGGGTCGTATTCACACCCTGGTGAGTGTAGTTTGGTACCTCCCAGCCTGTCAGTGGAGTAATGTGGAATAGCATCCCCCCATTGGAGTTGTTCAAGTAACATCACCAGCATTTGCACCAAACATGGTTCATTGGATGCAGGATGTAGAGATGAGGTAGCTGTGGTGGGTGTTTTGGGGGGAACAGTTCCAGAAATTGCAGCCATTGAGCCTCTGAACCTCTGGTTTAGAGGTTGGTAAAATAATTCAGACCATGTGTCCAAGACTGGATTTGGTGAATAGCATTTTGATGGGTTTGTACTTTAATACCACATCTAAGAATGTTTATGCCAAGGTTGATCACTTCCATGAAGGTATCCTAAACCATGCTGTGAAAGGGGATATTTTTATAAAATCAAATAAATTTTAATATTTTTTTGGTGAGGGAGATTGGCCCTGAACTAACATGTGTTGCCAATCTTCCTTTTTTTGCCTGAGGAAGACTGGCCCTGAGGCTAACATCTGTGCCAGTCTTTCCTCTATGTTTTGTATGTGGGTCACCGCCACAGCATGGCTTGATGAGTGGTGTAGGTCTGCTCCCAGGATCTGAACCTGCGAACCCCGGGCCACCGAAGTGGAGCGTGCCAAACTTAACCACTATGCCACTGGGCTGGCCCCTAAATTTTAATATTTTATATCTGATCTTCACACCTCAACCCCTCACTGTGAAGAAAATCTACACTTCCTTAAAGTATTCTGTCCCCCTCTTTCAGCCCCTTTATATCTAAAATGGAGCTCTTTACCATGAAAGTAAAACTGGAAATAGGTTCCTTCTTCTGACTCCAGTCCCTAAGGAAAGAACATGTTTTACGTTAATTGCCAATAGTAGGTCCTCCAGTACTCGTTGAATGAATGTTTGGGTTCCTACTCAGCAGGCGGACCAAAGTGGATCATGAAGGGGATGCACAGGTTCTCTTATAATTAAATCAGTGTTTTCAGGTAGCTCATTCTTAATCCCTAAGATGTGACTTGAGCTCTGAAATGCTGGCTAATGAGAGGAGGTTACCTTTCACTTAAGTACAGTGTTTCTTCCCCAGAGCACACAGTGCTTCATAGGAATGATCTCTACTGTGTTTGTGTGAAATACAGAGGGGTAGAATGAGAAATAAGCTCACTTTTGAGTCCTACTGAAGACTGGTTTTATGACTTAGTAGCTGTGTGACCTTAGGCTAATCAACTTCTCTAAAGAACCTAATGTACTTACATTACGGGTTGTTGTGAGAATCAAATGAGATATAATGCATTTCACAGTCTGGAAAATGCTATACAAATGAATGATACTGTGTGGTCAGTAAGACCTTTCAAATTTGTCTTAACCCACTTTTATCAGTTTATAGAACTGATTTAATTCTCTATGTTCTTTCATCTTTCATTGCCTTTGTGCCCGTTCTCCTCTATGCCTGGAATGTGCTTGTTCTATGGAGCAAACCTCCCATTTCTCCTGCCCTCCTTTGTCACTCATGGTAGTTAATTACACTTACCCCTTTGTGGCACCAGTCACCCTGTGTGTAACTGCTCGCATCTCTCTACAGGTAGACTGTGAAGTCCTTGCTGGACACATGTTTTGTTAATCCTTGCAACTCAGTGCTGGTGCAAAGTAGGTGTTTAATAAATATTTGTTGAAAGAAGTTTAAAAAAGAAAAAACAGATCCAGAACCAAGACTCGAGTATTGAGGCTTTATATTCCTATTTCAAGATTCATATCCTTTGCAGGATTCTTATCCTTTGCTTTCAGCTGTATTTAAATTCAAGGCCTTCCATAACCTGACATTTTTCTACCTCATTATAAAGATTCCAGGAATACCCTAATTAGTGCCCTCTTGTTAGGATACTTTTGAGGAATCAGAACATCTGAGTTCTAGCTCTCAGCTGGGCCACTAACTAGCTTCCTGATTAAAAAAAAAAAGTCACCTTTGGCCCAACTTTGTCACTTATCAACAGTGGTACTACAGTACTCTGGAATATTATGATTAGTTAGGAGATGTTCAACAAGTAATTAAAATACCAAAGTTTGTGAATTATTTTACTTAAAAAAATACGTGTTAGAATTATCTCCTAAATTAAAGGCACTGTCATTTGCTTACTTTCTGATAAGAAAGCACCTGATTCTTGAAAGAAAAGGAGAGAAGTTATCAAAGGCAGTGAGTTCTGCTGGATTCATATCCTAGATTCATCCGTGAGGCCACTTCCTGTTCTGAGATTTTCATAGTCTCTGATTTCTCTTCACACTAAGACACAAATAAAGACTTGCTTCATTTTTCTTTATGAAGGGTAACTTTAGTCAATTAAATGAGAAGGTGCAAATACATGGAACCTCAAGAGCAGACCAAAACAAGCATTGAAGTGGAGGCGGTGAGCTGCACCTTTGAACACGTTAGCTGTTTGTGCTCACAGGGACCCCTCCCCATTGTGTCCGCACTCCATTGATGGCTGAGGGCCTCCTCTCATTCCTCATCTGAGCCGCTCAGGAGGGCTGTCTGGTAACTGTGATCTGACTTCAGCTTCTGAATCCCAATGATTTCTCCTTCTCTCTGCCTCTTTAACCGAGTCAGAAGGCTGTAATAGAAACAATAAGACAAATTAGCCCCCACAAATTCCCTTATTCCCTCAACCAAGGATGTGAAGACATCTACTGGTTCTTAAAGCATTTTCTTTATATCTCTATCAGATACTGTGATTACTTGTCTACATTTCTGACTTCTCAGACAGTTTCATTGGTAGGTAAATGGACTCATGATTAATAATTAATAGTTAACATCATAACTGAGATTAAACTTAGGTCTCCTGCCTCCCTTATTGTTTCACTGACCAGGTAGTAGAACTAAAAGAAACTATGACCTTGAGTTCCCTTGTGTTTAGTCTGTGTGGAACTCTTTCTGAGGGAAGTATATCTGCTTTGGATAGGGAAATCAGGAACTAGGAAAAAAAAAGATAGGGGAGCTAGAAAGTCACTCTTGTGCTGCAGTTATAGACTGGGGCTGTGCCATTTACTCATTGGGTGACCTTGATCAAGGTACTCAGTGTTTTGAAGCCTTGATTTCCCCATCTGTAAAACATTACAGTACATACGTCATTAAATGATGAGGATTAAATGGAGTAACACATTTTAAGTGCTTACCACAGTGCCTGGGACACAGTAGGTGTATAGAAATTACTATCATGTCATAGTAAGTGTATAGCTATTACGATAACCTCTGGGGAGCAGTTTAGAGAGCACTGGCGGCTCTAGTATCTTATCTGATTGTCACAATTCTCTGGGATGTAGTAAGGGCAGATCCAGGCATAAGGTGATGGGCTCAGAAGGAACTATGGACAGAGCAGGTTCTGCAATCCAGTATCCATGCCTGATTCAGAGTTTTTCCTAACACACTGTAGGCTTAAAATCTGTCAGAACTGCATTTGAAACCTGGGTCTATCAGGTTACTATGACCAGACAGGTCTTTTAACTTCTCAAATCTCATCACTGTCATTTGCAGGTGTAGAGTACCTTTCACAGAACTTAGCATATAGTTGGCACTCATTAAGTGGTAGAAGTTAGCACTATTTAGTTATGAAAAGTGGGTCACTAGAAATAAAAATGGTGCAGTATAATTTCTGGGGCAGGGGTTGATTAGGAGGAAAAACCTTGATAAAAGTCGTCTTCTCTTGGACATACCAGGAAACAAGAGAGTAGTTGGTGGCCACAATGCAGAGAGCAGCCACGTAGTGCCAGCAGAAGCACATGGTGATGAACATGATGTTGGAATCCTCTTTCTGGTCCCATTCGGGTCTTCCAAAAGGTGGGAACAGCACAAACCCAATCTGGTGGATTATATAGAGAAGTCATTAGTTGGCCTTGTCATTAGTTGGTCCTGAGAAGGCACCTAGCCTCCTTCCTGTACAAGGGTTCCCCCCGCCTCACATTTCCCACTCCTCCATTAGCATAGAAAGGCCTTTATGCACAGAAAAATTGCTCTAAGTTAATTCTGGTTTTATGGTAGCCTTATTTAAAACAAAATTTCAGGGCCCACATTTCAAGGGAACAGTTTACCACGTGGAACCTGTAGGTATCACTGCCTCCGCTGGGGAGGGCAGATAGGAAATGTTTAATCTGCTTGCTGTGTATGCTCCATAGATTATGCTCGTTGATGCATCAGCAGGATGGTAATGGATACAGTTACATAGGTCAAGGGCTGGGCATGGGGAGAGAAGTGGCCATGTAAACCCATTCACATGGCATGTTAGTGCTGTATCTTCAAGACTTCTCTTGGGCACTCTCAAGGGCCTCCTTAATCCATTTAATGAGAGGACCATTGTTTTGAATAATTACCTGCCAGAACCAGGTGCCCTGAAGAATAGTGAGACTGGTTCGGAAAAGTTCCAGCACGATGTTGTCCCGAAGGATCGCCTCTAAGAAGAGACCGAGAGCCCCTCCAAACACAGCGCACAGCAGGAGTGAGTGGATGTGCTGGTCCAGTGGTGGTCGGTTATGAACATGGTAGTAGAAGAGAAAACCTGCCACAGAGTGAATTACAGCCATCAGAGATTTGCTAGTTTCTACTTCAGACGATTAATTCTGGACTTTTTACATTATTAGAATTTCCTGCCACCCCTTTCTCAAAGCTAGATTCTTCAGCATTTAGGAAGTCAGTTTATGTAACATTACAGGGCAACAAACATGCAGATTACATTTACTTCATGTGTGTTAAGTGGCTATAAGCAGCAAAGGATGTATCTTTTAAAATCTTTACAGAACCCATGGTAGGTTCAATACAGGATGGGTAGGTGAAACATGTTGCTGATTTGTGACAAATTGTGTGTGTATACTTGAAATTCAGTTTTGCTTTCATTCAACCTTTTTTAAACTCTTCCTGAGGTACAGAAGTAAGTGAGGTTGTTGGATTACAAAATGTTTTTTCATTACCCCAGATAACGAGTTATATTAGGAGATCTGTCCTAGCCGCTGGGTGGATCTTCTGAGATTTGTGATGGAGTCCAAACAATAACGCTCCAGGGTGGGCGGTGGAATGCAAAGTTTCTCTTCCCTAACCAAAGAGAGTTACCCTCTTGCATGATGGCATTCAGCCAGTTTTCAGACGGTTCTTGTATGTTTCCATGTGGTTGTGGGCACACTCACATGCATGAGCGTGGGGTGGCAGTGGGAGGGCAGAGAGAGTGTGTGCACTATTAGCCAGAGGCTTTGGCTAAAAGCCTCAAGCTTCCATGTGCTGCTTCATGGAATATGTCATCTGTACCATCCAGGGCGTAGGACAAAGTCCTGTTCAGGTTTTTGAAGTTCAGAGATTTGGATTTTTGGGAGAAGGTTATTATATTTGCAATGGTTCCAGTCTTTTGTATCATGGTTCCTCATAATACAACTTGTCAGTCTCCATGTCCTTTTCTCCATCCGTACCACTCAGTTACCTTCAGTGAATGTTGCCAAAGCCATAACCAGTCTGTCCACCCCCAGGGGAGTGTGGGCACTGAGATAGGTGAGCATATCAGTGACTCCTGAGACTGCAAAGAACAGATACATGGTGCTGTGCTGCCAGTTCATTAGCTTGATCCAGTGGTCTTCATTGTACAGGTGGAGGTGGGGCCCATCTGGAACAAACTGCTCCGCCAGGATCCCTGAGGGCAATGAGAGTGGAAATTGAGGAGGGAGGAGCAGCTCCAAGACAAATAGGAGACAGCAAAAAATCACCCCAAGTCAGGAGCAGAGTTGAGATGTGGGTGAAGGTGGGCTCTGGTTCAGTGAACCTACTTTGCTGCCTCAGATACAGCTACTTAAGTATATACATAAGGTATTTGCTGAGGAACCTGTGTAGACATCTTGCCTTTGTTGTTCTTTTGTGGGGGAGGAGGGTGCAGAGGGAGGAGAGAAGATAGCAAGGCAGCCACACAGGCCCCCAGGGAATCTGTCCGGCAGCCAAGATGAAAGCCAGGCATTGTCAGTTACGTGAGCGTGTGACTCACAACGGTACTCTCTGGGCTCCCTCTGCCAAGCGAGCAGTGAAGGAAATCCCAGAAAGAAACAGGTTGAAATAGTAGCATCCCAGCAGAAACACACTGGTGTTGAGGACACTTGCGCATGCCTGAGCAGCCCAGGTGTGTTTCTGTCGGGGTGGACTCCGGGTGAGTACTTTCTCTAGGTGCAGAGCGAGCTCTGTGAGCTGTGGGCCCTTGCCCTGGCTTCAGGTCTCTGTCCTCAACATTGGGGGAACAAGGTGAAGGCCCCATTCCCCCTGGTGTTTCTGGCCATCCTGTGTCTCAGGAGAGGCAAGCGTTAGAGATGGGGCCAGAAGATTGAGGCTGTGCCACAGTGCAGCTCTTCGTTCTTATCCTTCCTACTTTTATCACCTCATTTGGAAGGCAAGAGAGTTGCCTTTTGCCTGGTGCCTGAGATGTTCTTGGGGCCTCGAATAAGCCTTCCATGACAACATTCTGGACCCTGTTCCCCAAACATTTTTTTCTCACGTTGGCCCCTTTCAGAATATGTGTAAAGGATCCAGGAGTTGGTGAAAACAACTCAGGAAAAGGAAGTCACAGTGACACTAGAATGGAAGCTCTGTGAGAGCAGAGACTATGTTTGGTTCCCCCAGGTTAGCCCCAAAACCTAAAATGTGAGTTCCTGGCACATGGTAGGAGCTCAAGAGATAATTGTTGAATGAGTAGTATTTTTACGCAGCAAAGAAGCCAAGTATAATTTTTCTAGCTTTATTTAGGCAAAGTTGAGGCTGTCCTTACCATTTAAGTCATATGGCCCCTATCACTTCTCAGCTCCAGAAAGATGAGAAAGCCTTTCTGGAGGCTGAAACTGGTGACTGGGAAAATTCAGCTGGACTGGGCAAACAAAGCTCTACCTTGGTATACTCCAAGAGAAGCCACTGTTGTTTCAGTTCCTCCCAATAGTTGAGAAACCGTAGGCCTAAGATGACAAGTGGCAGAATGCAGCTGCAGAGTAAGATCCCTCATAACTCACGTTTGGGCTGATCCTGAGGAAGAGGGCTTTTTGTTATTGGCACTGCTTGTTCCATGAGAGCCACCAGTGGTGGAATGGATGACAAGTAACAGTGGAAATGGGTGGATTTTGTTGAAAGGGGGCACAGTAAAGGAAAATCCCTCTCAAATAGCCCTGTGTTGGCTTTTTTCAATCTCTTCCATTGCCTACCTTGTTAGCCTTCTAGCATAAACTCCCCATCTCTATAATTGCTTGAGATTTGGGGATGGAGGTTATGCCAAAGAGTTGGGTTTTAACTACTCTTGAGATTCTAATGGAGAGACAATTGGGAGAAAAAAGATGATTTTTCTAAAGTTAAACCATTTAGTACTTTCTCATAACTCATGTACATGAGCTTTTTTAATTCTTTTTTTCTATTTTTGTTTTATGTTTCTCATAAAGTATGTCTTCTTTTCCTACAACTTTTTTTTTTTTTTTTCCTGAGGAAGATTTGCCCTGAGCTAACATTTGTTGCCAGTCTTCCTCTATTTTGTATGTGGGTTGCTGCCACAGCATGGCCTCCAATGAGTGGTATATGTCTGTGCCTGGAAACGAAATCCAGGCTGCCGAAGTGGAGCGTGCCGCACTTAACCGTTAGGCCATGGGGCTGGCCCCTATACCTACCTCCTTTTAGGGCAAAAAATATAGTTTATTTAGTAGTTTTTTGTAGTGTTCTATGATGTAAGGTGCTATTAACTAGTTGTTCATGTTACAAAGCTCTCAGTACACAATAGATGTTATGATAAAATATTTAGTTTAGTGGCCAACTGAAAACCGTGTTCTCTTATCTCTGCCAGTGGAAACATCCATTTCACAGGTCTGGAAAAATGGGTTAATGGTTCTGGGTATGATGGGGAGATCCTTTGGCCTAGATGATCCACCCCCTGCCTTCTTACCGATGACAGAAAACAAAGTTCTGATCGCAGCTTCAGTGATCTCGAGACGCTGATAATGACGAGTCAGTTGGCTGCTTTTCCCTTTTTGGTGAAAGTACTTCAGTGGGTACTTCACTGACCACCATAGCCCCACAATCAAGAAGAAACTCCCTGGGAGAGCGTGGCCCTTGAAGTTTGCCATCAGGGTGCTGGGACACCTGAAAAATTAGGGGACAGCTGTTAGGTGGCAGAATGAAGGAAACATAAATGGATATTTTGACAAGAAACACAATACACGACTGAGAATTCCAAATTGTAAGCCATATTAAGATGGATCCACTTATTAGCCTTTATGTTACGTCACTGAAGTCTTGACTGCTAAGTGAGTTATATACCCAAGAAAAATACCATTGGCCCCGAGGCCTTAAAAACATGGTTAAAATAAAAGGGGAAAAAAAGGAGGGTAGGCAAATATTTACTATACTGATCTCAGGGTAGAAAAGCCTTTCTAAACATAAAGGTAAAGAAGAGAACTAGAAAAGAAAAATATTCACCTACGTCAGCATTTTATATATCAACATCAGAAGGCAAACAACAAATCAGGGGAATGTTAGTAGCATCTGTGATGAATGGCTGTTCCATTAGAGAGCCTTTACAGATTAATAAGAAAAAGACCATAGAAGAATAGGCAAAAGACATGAACACACAATTCACAAAATAATACAAATTGGTGATAAATCTCACTGTAATTAAATGCAAATGAAAGCACAATATCATTTTTCACCTAACTGGAAATCATTTGAAGAATTAGAGTTTTGATACAGCCCTCTAGTATAAATGCATATATGGTCAATATGATTCAAATTTGGTAAAAGTCAAAATAATTATATAAACACCACCTTATTCCAAAAAGGATTTCAGGCATGATGTGCTTTTATCCTATTTATAGTAGCATAGACTATAGGGTCAAAGTTATGAATGCTAGAATTTATTTGGAAGGAAAATGATTATTTTCCTGTGGCCTGAGTGGTGACCTACAGAATATGTAGAGTGGGAGAAAAATAGTTGGTGGCGATCTAGAAAATACCACCGAGGAACATAAAGTGTGCGTGATCTGCACAGCCTATTCCAGTCCTGGCCATCAGAGTCCCGTCCCTCTGTCACTGGCTACACTGGCATGGCTGTTTCACATGTGATGCATTTACAGTTGAGGTTTCCATCCTTCATCAAGAACTTTCACAAGCTTTTAAAAAATGTTTATAGTTTAAAAAAATCAAATAGCATTTAAAAGGCTTGTAATGAAAAGCAGCAGCCCCATGCTCCGTCCCTCCTCCCCCCTCGTGAAACCACGTGAAACTTCCTGCTGTTTCTTCTCCATAATTCTAGTTGACTTGTGCATGCTGCCACTTGTTAATTTATCGTTGTTAGGCATTGTCTACCAACTTCCTGGAGCACTCTTAGAAGCTCTCCCTCCTCTTCACCCCTTCCTTTTCACAGTACTTACATTATACTCATTTGTTTAAATCATTAGTTTCATTTTTATGGCTCTGTAAATCCAAAGTCCTTACCAGGGCTGATAAGCCCTACCTGATCCTGGACTATCTCTTTGTTCTCGCCTCCCCCTCTGCCCCTGCAACACAGGGTTCTTTCTATTGCTTGAAACAAGTACAATCCACCCCTGCTTCAGAGCCTGGCACTATCTGTTCTTTCTAGAACAGTTTACCCACAGAGAGCCAGTAGTTCTCTCCTTCACTTTAAGTCTCTGTTCAAATGTTACTTTATTCCCTGACTTTTATGTAAAATAGCAGGCATGTCCCACTTTTCAATCTGTTGAATACCTCTATATTCAATACTTCTAAATACTTTTAAATACTTCTAAATTTTCTTTAAAGCTTAAATCACGATCTGATATTACATATTCTTTTTTTTAGCATCTATCTCCATCCACTAGAATGTAAGCTCTTTGGAAGTAGGGATTTGATCTATTTTGTTATTGCAGTTAGCCCACTGCTTACGCAGTGCCTGACACATAGTCCACAAAGCCAAAGATTTTCCATCCCCAGTCACCACCGTGAATTGAGTCTGTTTCTCCTGGTGGCAAAGCTATTTGTTTTCATGGCCAGCACCACCTTTCTTAAAAGTCATTGAGTGGGGGGATAATGGGAGCAACCCCAGGCAAAAAGCCACCGTCTCCCACTGGTCTTACCTGAAGATCTAATAGTTTTTCAAGTTTAATGAAAGCTCCTGTGGAGAGTCTAGCTGAACTACATAACATCGCTGCCTCTACATCCATTTTGTGTCGCCAAGGGACCTTGAGCTGACACTAGCCCCTCCTGCGAGCATGCCCTAGATAACAGCTGCAGAGTCACAAGTAGATGAAAGTTCCTGATAGGACTCCCCCAAATGCCCTTGAGATGAATAGATCCCCACCTCCCAGGGCCTTCTTGTGCACCCTTTGGATAAGAGCCCCGAGATGCCTACCAAACCCCTGTTCTTTTTGGTTTGAATGGACCAATCCAGGCTTAGCCTGGGAACTCCAAAGCATTCCTCCTGTAAACCAGAACAAAGGCGTGTGCTCCACATCGTGCCACACTCTGCCTGCACCCTGCCCTGACCTCCCCATATGGCCCCCCGGTCCCCCCGTGTCCCTCCTCCAGGGCCTGTCAGTGATCAGATTCTGTATTTCACTTCCCTGCTAGTCTTTTGTTGAACTGAGACTCCCCATCAGACACCCCGGGACCATACTTAACAATGTTAATTTAACAAAATCACAAGAGCTTCTCAATTGGCTGGCTGCCTTTGGTCAAGCTCCAGTTCCCTGAAATGGTTGGTTTTGACAGTTTTGTCTAGTTTTACTCTATTTTTGTTTGTTTTTCATTTTGGTTTTTGCAGGAGGGAATTGCCTGTCTCTTCATGCTGCCATAACTGGAAGGCCCTCTTCTCATTCTTTTTTAACCCTTTATTGATCCACACAAAAAAAGTTTTCCATTTTCATTGAACGTTTAACACAGGTCCCTTTCAAGATCAAGCTTGTCATACTCCTCTGTTTTCTTAGCCAGAAGTACAGAAAAACCAGCTTTGCAAATCCTTCCTGCCCTTCCCCATTTTTCTGAAAAGCAGCACCCTCAATAAAGGCAGAGTCCTTGTCTGCCTGTCTCTAGTCCATACCAATTTATCAAGCCCCACCCTTCCCTTTTACCTGGTTTACAATTCACATCAGTAGATAGTAGGGCTTGCAGCATCATGTCTGTAGAAGCTACTTTTAAATTTATTTGTGCTATTTGGAAGGCTAATTACTTCGATTTGATAGGGGAGAGGGGCAGGGGAGGTGGATTTCTTCCATGAACAAATTAATAGATTAGTTACATTATAGAACGTGATATAGATACAGGATGGGTCAATTTTAATAAGGAGGAACAAGGCAATAACTTCAAATAGAACAATAAAAATTTAGACTTCTAATATCTTGGATAACACCATTCAAATAGGCTAAGTCCCTGAGAAGTCTAGCTTTAAAAAATAATTTTAAAGTAAATATAAAATAAAAAAAGCACACACTTAAGGGATGAGCTCCCTTGTCTATACAGAATGGTGTGGTCATTACACTATAAAATATTCGGTCTGAGGAAAACCCACAGATAAGAAAACATCAGAAAGTGCTTCCACAAAGACAAATTTCCTAACTTTCTTATTTTAATAGATTTGCCCTTTTTTGATATCACATGCGGTAGAATGGGAGTGTGAAGGAAGGATTAAACGTTTTGGAGAGGTGGTAGCTTTGAGTTAAAGCTGGCAACCAAAAAGGCTAGAGGTTTGGGTGACTTCATTTCACATCTAGGGAGTGACTGGAAAAGGAACCTAGTGTGAGTAAGAGGTTTGACTTGCTTTCCTTGTATGCCTCGTTTTTAACCGTCTTGCCCAATCTACATGCCCTCTTTTTCAATTGAGGTGAGTGAAGTGGCAGACAACATAGGAGGTGTCAGAAAGAGAAAAAGGTGAGAGGAAGGAGCAAGGAAAGAAGAGAAAAGGAGTCAGAGAAGTAGGGAGAGGAGAAGTGATGGTTGATGCCGTTTGCCTGTAGTTAAAAATAAAACTTGCCGTGCTGCTTTTTCTTGTTTAATAAAGCGGCAGTTTCCTCTTATTTTACATGGGGCAATAGGAATAGTGAAGGAACGGACGTATCTAGAAAAGGGAGAGAATCAGAAAAAGGAACAAGAAAAGTGAATTCTGTTTCCTTCCTCAAGTGCCCAGGCTTAGCAACCAGCACTCCAAGATTAGGAGGATGAAGGACTTGGCTCTCCTGGCAGGGGAGGAGAGTTAAAGCCAACTTCTCCCAATTCGTGATGACAAGATACAAAATATATAGACTACCAACCGTCACAGAGAACCCAGACCTCTACTTAGTTCCAGTCAGACCTTTGACTTATGGTTTATCTTCACCATGGAATATTATGTAAGCATTAAAAAGAATGAATTAGAGCTATACCAGCTGTTCTGGAAGGTTTTCCATGAGATATTGTTGGCTGAGACTAGCAAGATGGAAAAGACTACTTATAATATGACCCTATTTTGTGCAACCATGATAATGTCCCACGTATGTGTGTACGTATGTATACAGGTATGTGATTATATGAACAGGAAAAGCAATATGGTAGAGTACTTGGAGGGTATTTGATGCTATTTATTAAGCATTTCTGGCTCTCTGTCTTCTAGGCACATGGTATGATTGCACTTTCCGGCCCCCTTGTGGTTGGGAGGGGTCTTGTGAGTTGTGAGCAGAAGTGATGTGATACTTCTGGGTTGAAACAATTGCTAGTGCAAGACCCTCCAGAACACACTTCCCTTTACACATTACTGTCAGTGTTGATGACAGTAGCTCCTCCATCAGCCTAGATCCCAGAATGAGGAGATGTGGAGCAAAGCCCCAAACAAGCCATGATAACGTGGCAAGAGAGAAAAAAACAGTTGTAATGAGCTACTAGGCCTTATGGGCTATTTTTATCTAGCATAAGCTAACCTGTTCTGAATCATACAGATATATACTAGGTTAACATGTTATGGGGGCGGGGGCCAGGGGGATGGGACACTCAGGCTTTTGTAGGTTTTTTTTTTTTTTTCATATTGAAAAGCTTTATAAATCCACGTCTCAGGGAATAGGGAGGCCCAAGGAGAGGGAGAGAGATGAGAGAACAGCTGGTCGGTGGAGCAGTCAGAACACACACAACATTTATCAGTTAAGTTTGCCTTCTTATATGGGCCTGGTTCATGGCACCCCAAAACAATGACAATAGTAACATTGGAGATCACTGATCGCAGATCACCATAACAAATATAATAATAGTGAAAAAGTTTGAAATATTGTGAGAATTATCAAAATGTGATAGAGACACGAAGTGAGCAAATGCTGTTGGAAAAATGGTGCCAACAGACTTGCTCGATGCAGGGTTGCCACAAACCTTCAATTTGTAAAAAGTGCAGTATCTGTGAAGTGCAATAAAGCGAAGCACAATAGAAGGAGGTGTGCCTGGATATTCACTGAGTTGTGCAACCATCACCATGGTCAATTATAGAACATTGTCATCACCCACAAAAGAAATCTCCTTACCCATTAATCACTCTCCATTTTCCCCAATCCCCTCCCACCCTGCCCTGCACAGCTGTAGGCAACCACGAATCTACTTTATATCTCTATAGATTTGCCTATTCTGGACATTTCATATAATTGAATCATACAATATGTGGTCTTTTGTGACTGGCTTCTTTATTTTGGCATGATGTTTTCAAGGTTCATCCATGTAGCATGCCTCACTACTTATTCCTTTTTATGGCTGTATATTTCATTGTATGGATATACATTTAGTGGCTTGCCAGGGCTGCTGTAACAAAGCACCCCAGACTGGGGGGTTTAAACAACAGATAGTTATTTTTCTCACAATTCTGGAGGCTAGAAGTCTGAGATTAAGACTGGATGTTGTGGCAGGATTGGTTTCTTCTGAGGCCTCTCTCTGTGGCTTGAAGATGGCCGTCTTCTGCCTGTATCTTCACGTCATCTTCCCTCTGTGTCAGGGTCCTCTTCTTATAAGGACAACATCATATTAGATTAGAACCTTCCTTAATGACCTAATTTTAATTTAATTACCTCTTTAAAGACCATATTTTCAAATACAGTCATATTCTGAGGTATTGGAGGTTAGGACTTCAACATATGAGTTTGGGGGTGAGGGGGAACACACATAATTCTGCCCATGACACCACATTTTATTTATCCATTCATCAATTCATTGACATCTCCATATACTTCTATAGATTATTTACTAAATCACTACAAAAGACAACCATCAAGTATATCAAAAAAGATGCTTTGAAGGTTTCAACAACCTTACTAAATATTGCTACTTTTTATTCCTGGGATGTTTTCCCTAATGATTCTGAAAGTCACCCTCAGATGGCTCTAGAAGTTTCAGTGCTTTCCTGATATTTCTCTTTTACTTTTCTGTTGTTGTTGTTAAATAAGAGCCTTATTGACATATAATTCACATACCATAAAATTCAGTCCTTTAAAGTTTACATTTCAGTGGTTTCTGTTATATTCATAGTTGTGCAACCATTACCACTATCCAATTTTAGAACATTTTCATCTACCCCAAAAGAAATCCCATACCCATTAGCAGTCATTCCCCATTTTCTTCCAGCCTCTCTGCCCCTGGCAACCACTAATCCGCTTTCTATCTCCATGGGTTTTCCTATTCTAGATATTTCATAGAAGTAGAATCATATAATCTCTGCCTCTTTTACTTAGCATAATGTTTTCAAAGTTCATCCATGTTATAGTGTGTATCAGTACTTCATTTTTATTGCTGAATAATATTCTGTTGTATGAATATGTCACATTTTGTTTATCCATTCATCCTTGATGGACATTTGGGTGGTTCTGAATAATGATGCTATGAACATTTGTGTACGTATTTTTGTATGTACCTATGTTTTCATTTCTCTTGGGCATATACCTGGGAATGGAATTGCTTAGTCATATGGTAACTCTGTGTTTAACATTTTGAGGAATCACCATACTGTTTTCCAAAGTGGCTGCACCATGTTACAGTCTCACCAGCAATGTATGAGGGTTCCAGTTTCTCCACATCCTTGCCAACACTCATGTCCATTTTTTTTTTTTTTTTTTGGCCATCCTAGTGGGTGTGAAGTGTATCTCATTGTTTTGTTTCATTTTGCTTCCCTAGTGATTAGTGATGTGGAGCATCTTTTCATGCACTTATTGGGCATTTGTATATCTTCTTTGGAGAAATGCGTATTCAGATCCATTGCCCATTTTAAATTAGGTTGTCTTTTTATTGTTGAGTTGTAATCGTTCTTTTTATATTATAGATACCTGTTTTGTATCAGATACATGATTTGAAAATATTTTATCCTTTTTTATGGGTTTCATATTTACTTTCTTGATTGTGTCCTTTGAAGCACAGAAGCTTTAAATTTTGATGAAGTCCAGTTTCTCTCTTTTTTTCTTCTGTTGTTTGTGCTTTCAATGTCATATCTGAGAAACCACTGCTTAACTCAAGGTCATGAAGATTCACTCCTGTATTTTCTTCTAAGATTTTTACAGTTTTAGCTCTTATATTTATATCTATAATCCATGTTAATTAACTTTTATATATGGTGTAAGATAGGGGTCTAATTTCATTCTTTTGCATATCCAGTTGTCCCAGCCATTTGTTGAAAACATTCTTCTATCCCCTATTGGAATTGTCTTGGTGCCCTTGTCTGTCTTCTACTCTTGAAAATGGATTTCGTCAATCTTCAAAGAAGGGCCTTGCCTATAATAGGGTCAAACTGTGGTGAAGAGGGAATAATTCAACTATTATGACATATATATTAAATATTTTAATAGAGTGTACAGAGTGTTATGACAGTAAAAGGAGGACACTGATTCAGCCTAGTGGAAATAAGAGAAAGGTTATAGAGGGAAGTGTCACTAAAGCGTCCTTGAAAAACAAGTAAACATGGTACGGTGGGTGGAGTTCCAGAAAGAGCAGTTAGTGCATGCAAAGGCTAAGAGGCAGTTGCAGCCGATCATCCACATAGTCAGAGTGGAGCTACATAATATTGCTTACTCTCTTTACCCTGCCATTCCCACCTTCTTTACCAAGAAAGACCATATGTCACTCTCTTCATGAGTGGAATGCATTAGACCTTGAAATTGTCTTAGATTGGTAATGAACAAAACAGTGTACCTAAAAGTCAAGTCAACCAGACATTGTGGTCCTGTGTGCCCAAGAGTCTCTGGGAAAGGATATAAACCAGCTCACAAATGGGCCCGAGGAAGGTTGAGTTAGAAAAGGTGTCAGTCAGGTTTTATATTAGTTCAGGTGCATTCTGTTTTCTAGATTTCCCTAAAGGAAACAGAGTTTCTCAAGTTTCCTTTAAGGGGAAATATAGTCACATAATAGAAAGAGCATGAACTATGGAGTGTCAGATCTAAGTTCGTTCCTGGTTTTGCCACTTCTACTGGTAAGACCCTGGACAAGTCCCCTGACCTCTCTGAATCTCAGTACCCCTCCTTCTGAAACAGGAACATGAACACTTACCTTGGAGGGACCTTGTGAGGATTAACTGAAAATGTCTAGCAGCTAACTAGAATAAATGTTAGTTTACTCTCTTCTCTGGTGCTCTTATACCTATTCCCACAATTAATGGGGGAGAAACCTGGGCTTCTCTCTTAGGATAAGTATAATTATTGAACTAAGGCTGCTGTCCTTTGCTTTTAGTAGCTGATCTGAAGCGCAGGGGGAATCACTGTTGAACGTTTACCTAATCCTGGAGAGAGCAGTGGTTGAATGTGTCTTTTTAATAGGAATGGGATGTGTGTTTGGTCAGTAGGGAAGTAGGTTATGGGGAGAACATAGCACATAATTTTACTGCAGAACATGGTTTTATACTTTCTAAATCTGTCCTTGCTAACAGAAATACTCAGACAATTGGTTTCTGGTCTGAGTTTATTTTTGAAAACAACCAACCCTGCCTGACATAGCTTTCTGTTACTCTGCAAATAACAAGGTAAATACCGCCCCCCCCCCCTTTTTCTATGAGCTGCTTAGTGATAGAATGCAGAAGAAGCACAAGGTGCAGTGTTGAAAGTCCTCTGTTGCCCACAGGCTGATGTGACTGTGGCTTAGTCCTGACCATCAGGCAAGCTGTATCCCTGCTCTACAGTAGCCTGAGCGGCTTTAGGTAATTCTGGAGTCCCTCACTTTCTTCTAAATTTGACAACTACTACCCTCATTGTTATTTTCTCAATAGGTGGGTCCTTGGATCAACACAGTCAGAAGGAGTGAGACCAGAATAAGAGCCTTAACCTGTTCTGGCATGAGTTCCTGATGCTATGGAACAAAATTACCATGAACAAGAGCTCAGTTACCTCCTAGCTCAGTTTGGTTCCTAAGCAAAGGTGGTCTCATTTCTGCTCTCTCTCTCTTTTTTTTCATGTGAGCTTATTAAATACAAGACTCTATGTTGGATGCTGAGGAAATAATAAAATGAATAAGAACTGATCCCTATCTTCAAGGAGTTTATAATCTAGTAGGCAGTTATATAATTGTGAAAGATTGAGTGTCATGAGATAAACTGATAGCAATCCTTGGTGACATAGAATAGAGAGTGAATCACTCTCACCAGAGAATCTTAGAAGGCTTCACAGAGAAGAGGGGCATTTGAGCTGGGGCTTTCTTCATTGCCTCTTTCAAACTGTTAGGAAAATTAGGCAGCCTTACTGGAATCCTGAATTAAAGACTGAAGAACAAATCTGGGCTCAATTCCATTATTTCTCAAGACCTAATAAAGAACATTGGTCTCTGAGTCATAGACCTGGGTTCTAGTCCAAGTTTTGCTATGAACTCACTCCGTGACCTTGAGCAAGATATGTAACATCTCAGGATCATAATTTCTTTGTTTGTTAAATGGGTAGTTTGGAAGAGGGAATCTCCATGGCCCTTCCTAGTGCTAAAATCCCTTTCTGTCTTTGTTCTTGATTAACATATCACAAAAATGAAATGACGAATGAAAAGGAATTAGAGCAAGTTCAGTCCTGGTGAGGGAGGAATGGAACAAAGGTGTGGGCATCACCAACAAAGAAGCAGCTCTCAGTCGCCACTTCAGCATACCCCAGAGTGAAAGGGGCGTGGACTTGAAAGGTTGGTCAGCATACCCCAGAGTGAAAGGGGCGTGGACTTGAAAGGTGGGCTGATTTTTCAAGCAACAAGGAAAAAAAGTTACATGTATTTTTCCTTCCTTCTCTACTGTCAGTAAACTTGTTCAGCACTTACATCAGTGAACAAGATGGATGCTGGGCCTTCCACTTCCCTCAATAGTCCTTCTTATCATGTGCAAGCTCTTAATCCCATTTCTCATAGACTAGTTTTTGAAAACTCTCATCACTTCCCTCAAACTTGAGTTCCCTAAACTCGGGGAAAACCTCTCCTTTCATTCGATTAACATCATTGAAACTATAAGGCATCAATCACCTCAATTTCCTCCTCTTCACCTACAAATT